TCTATTTTGGCGTAAGTGGAGGTGGAGGTGGATGTGGAGTATGAGGAGGTGGAGGAGGAGCAGGTGTTGGTGTTGTTGGTGCTGGTGTTTGTGTTTGTTGTGGTGGAGTTCGTGGTGGTTTTGGAGCATGAGCATGGTCTGGGGGAAGATGAGTAGTAGTAGGATGATGGGAATAAGTAGAAGGATGACGATTAGGAGTACTAGTAGGACGGTGTGTCTATTTTGGCGTAAGTTGAGGTGGATGTGGATGTGGAGTATGAGGAGGTGGAGGAGGAGTAGGTGATGGTGTTGTTGGTGCTGGTTTTTGTGTTGGTTTTGGTGGTGTTCTTGGTGGTTGTGGAGCATGAGCATGGTCAGGGGGAAGATGAGTAGTAGTAGGATGATGGGAATAAGTAGAAGGAGGACGATTAGGAGTACTAGTATGACGGTGTGTCTATTTTGGCGTAAGTGGAGGTGGACGTGGATGTGAAGTGTGAGCAGGTGGAGGAGGAGGAGGAGAAGTAGTTGTTGGTGTTGTTGTTGCTGGTGTTTGTGTTGGTTGTGGTGGTGTTCTTGGTGGTTGTGGAGCTTGAGCAGCGTCAGGGGGAAGATGAGTAGTAGTAGGATTATGGGAAGATTTAGAAGGAGGACGATAAGGAGTACTAGTAGGACGGTGTGTCTATTTTGGGGTAAGTGGAGGTGGACGTGGATGTGAAGTATGAGGAGGAGGAGGAGGTGGAGGAGGAGGATGCAGGATGTTTGCGTGTCTGCTTCATGGCAGTGTGGCATGAGTGGTGTGCTGCAAGTAATGTAATGAGCGACTGATTTTTTGAGAGAGTGAGCGAGTGAGTGTGTGTGTGCAGTGGGCATGTGGGCAGGCGGTCAGCATGCATGCAGGCAGGCAGTCAGGCAGGAACATATGTAGGTAGGCCGGTAGCAGACAGGTAGACAGGAAGGCAGCAGTGCAGGCATAGAGGCAGGTAGGAGGTAGCAGGCAGCAGGAAGGCTAAAATGCGTGAGTATGTGGTGCGCGCTCGGTCGCTGTTGATGGCGGTGTTTGTGGGTGTGAATTGGAAAAAGAGAGATGTCAGCAACACCCGGTATTCCCAGCCGGTCACCCATGCAAGTACTAACCGGGC